GGACTTTTCCCTGTTTCAAAACTGATTTTCATGGAGAATTAGTAGAACAGCACATCACGTTTTAACAGAGAAATTTGTACCTAAAAAGGATATAAAGTTGGATATTTAATGACCATGTTATACCAACGGAGAATTTAATCACCGAAAATAAAACCTAACTATTCGTCATCATAACATCAGCTCACAATGTGTGTGGTGATTGCTTGGGAAATCGTTTGTGCACAAAAATTGGAATTAACACACTTTGACAAATGTGCATGATTGGTGGTGTCCAAGACTGGGCGCTTCAAAAAGGTAAATAACATATTTTGTGTTTTCCAAGATGTACATGGAACGTTCATTATCCATGGATATATTTCAATTTATATTATGGTAATTTCACAAACAAAGATCGATTTGCCTCTAATGTTCCTGTATTCTTTTGTGGATATGAATGATTGGAATCCAGGTGGTGTGTTATTTACATGCAGATAAGTAATCCACAACACTTGTATTCATATGTTAATTAGTAATTGTAACACTTATATGCTAATAAAAGTGTGGTGATTACTAATTAACATAAAACATATTATTGAAAATGACACAGTGCTCGTTAAATTTGTGTAACAAGGTCTTTTTGTATTCAGCATGAGACACAGCAAAAAAACATAGATCACACATGAAAGTATAAAACAACTTGATGTGCATGACTTTGTGATCCACTGGCTAAACATTGTGATTTGTTTTTGCCATTATATCAATAGTCAAGACATATATGTAGCATCGTTGCATTGCATCAAGCTTTAATAAACTTTGTACAACACTGAACTAAATCAATCAATCAAAATGTAACAAGTGACTGCATCTTCACTTTGAATCAAAATGTCAACAAAACTGACATGCATCAGTAAACAGACAAGTACGATCAACATATCTAGTTTGAATGCAATCAACCAAATCGTGCCAAGAAATGACTCGAAAAGCACAAAAATAAAATGGCCACCAGTCAGCCATTTTGAATCAAATCATGAACAAAATGACATGCATCAGTAACCCAACATGTACAATCAACATACCAAGTTGGCGTGAAATTTGTCAAGGCATGTCCAAATCAAAGAAAGCTTAGAAAGAACTCCCATGTGCTGAGAGTATTGGAGACACATTAAATATAATTCGAAATTACTTAGCTGAAAACTAATTATGCAAATCAGAAAATTAATATGAACAGATTTGGGTGTAAAACTAAT